CGCGCTGGCCGTGTATAGTTGGCTCGCTCATCAAAAGACGTCCCGGGCGCAGCTCCTGGGCGACGCCGCCGCCCGGGCGACACTCCAGAAACGACTCTTGGACCAGCGCAACGCCATGGCTACGGACGAAAAGTTGCCGGCTCTAATTTCGGTGGATTCCTGCGACGTCCGTCGGTTCTACGACGCACTGGTTATTTGCGAAGACCTGTATGGCCGACAACCAGATGCAGGATACCACATCCCGAGCTTCGCAGAAGGCGACGACAACTCCAATCTCGTGCCAAACGGATCCGGGACAAAGCCTCACAGAGTTGCTGTGCGCATGCACCACATTGCCGCTGCCCTACGAGAACACAGTGCCCAGTTGAACAAGAGCCCCGTCCTGTTGGTTCAAATGGCAAAAACACTCCTTGCCACGCACGCGCATTGGCTGCCTTATATGGCACAGCTGGTATACATGCGTTTCTTCCGGAGCTCATTCGGAGCGCGCAATTGGGAGCAATCGATCATATCAGACATTTCTTTCATTGAACATGTTGGCGATGGAGATTTTCACTTCTTGCGGAAATTGCGCCCAGAAGCTTTCTCGATTTACAACTCTTTGGCAGACAGGGGGCCCGTGGAGGCTGCCGGGGCCACCGTTGCCACGAACGTTTCTAAGGGCGAACGGGACCTCGGCCGCACGTTGATCCAACTGTTGACTTCCAGGCAGGAGAGCATGTCGTTGCATTCAAAAGTGAACGAGCTCCTCGGCTTCAGCGCCATGGACTTTCACGAATCGCAATACACAGTTTGCGAAGTGCGCACCTTCGTTTACGGCGCACGCCTGAGGAAAACAGAGACGACGGACTCCTGGCTAGAGAAGATGCGCGCGGCCCACCGGCGCTGGCATCGGGAGGTCCTCCTGCCGCGCGTCTGGGGCGCGGTTGCAACCGGAGACCGCAAGCGGACCCGTGAGTAGAGCAACTCCCCCAGCGCACCGACACCAAAAAAACACCCCTTTTTTATCTCCTCGCCCCCTGTGGAACCATGAGTTTCTGGGATCCATGAGTTCCCCCGCCACTCCTTAACTCGTGTTCTCGAACACCCCATGGGCCAAGATTTAAGGCGAAGCGGAGCGAGCCTTCAAAATCTTGTATATATATATATATATATATATATATATATATATATATATATATATATATATATATCCCGCGCAGAAGAGGACAAGGCCGCCGCGCCCGCGGCGGCTGGGGGCCCTCTTAGTGATCCCGACAGCGCTCTACCACGCACAAGAGGGCAGAGCCGCCGCGCGCGCGGCGGCTGGGGGGCCCCCGAGAGCCGCCGCGCCCGCGGCGGCTCTCGGGGGCGCCGGATGCCGCCGCCGCGGCCCAGGCCGCCGTGCCGTGCCAGACCCGGCACGGCCACCGGCCCGACGCTCGAGGCCTATTCGCGGCAAGTGAGAGAGGGAGGTGGATGAGAGGGGAGTTACGGAGGAAGGAGGAGGGAGAGGAGGAAGAGGATACAGATACAGACGCACCGAGAAAAACAATCGCCATCCGACTGCAACCCGGAGTTTCTGCAAAACTGCCCGACGCCTGACTGCAAACGGACGCTGCCTTACAACGGCGCGAGCCAAAAAGAGATGCAAACAAATAGATTGCTCAAGATTCTGGGGAATCTAGGCATTCCTTTGGGGGTCAGAAGTTGAATTCGGTGTGTCAGTACTTATTCCTCTGGATCCCAGAAAATGTCGAACGTTGCTGAGGTTTCGCATGGGCCCCTAAGGGCGCTAGAGGGCCCCCGAGGATCCCCAATAATATTTCTCAAGAGTTCCAACCGATTCCTCCAGGGGTCTCAGGTTTCCCCCGGGTTCTCGGAAACTCTAGCGCATGAGTCAAAAGTGCTTCCATGGGATCCCCAAATGAGTTCCTCAAGATTCAAAAAAAAACTCCTGTGCCAGGTGCTTTTGGACCCCCGTGAGTCCCGAGGATCCTCGCGGAACGCTTTTGCGTCCTAAGCATCCCGCACTGCGCCACAGGTTCGCGGGGGAAACCCAAGCATTGCCGCGGATGTCTTCGCTGGCCAAAGGATTTCTGGAGATATTCCGAAGTTCCTTGGGATCCTCTGTGTGTTCCGAACGGTTTCTGGGGGTTCTGCCCGATCCCTTGGGACTCGCTTTCATCCTTCTGGATTCCCCTGGCTTCCTGAAGATCCTTCGGGATTTCTTAAGACTCCTCAGGATTCCTTTTGGGTCCCCTGGATTCCTGGGGATTCCAAGGGATTCCTGAAAATTATGTAGGATTCCTTTGTTTTCCGAAGACTTCGTGGCCTTCCTCAGGGTTTCACTGGATTGCTCGCGAACCCCTTCCACCACCGGTCCCGTCGGGCGCGAGCGCATCCCGGCCAATGCCAATTTCGACGCCCCCCTCGCGCGGATCGTGCCCCTCAAGGAACGCCGCCTACGGCCCGCGGCGCGGGCGCATTCCGCCCGCCGCCCATGTCGGCGCACCCTTCGCGCGTGTCTTGAGGGGGCCCCGCGCGCGACTTCAGCGGGCGCCCGCGCATGGCAGCCCACGCCCATTTCGGTGCGCGTTCCTTGCGTTTTCCGCGCCCCGTAGGGGCCCCACCTTGCGACGCGCGCCCCGCCCCGCGCGCGCCCGCGTCGTCTGCGGCCCCAGCAGAGGTCCTAGCGCGGCCCCCAAAGCAATGTGACACACCCCTCGCGGGGGCGCGGTCCACGCACGGAGATGCGCGCAACTCTGCTCGCGCGCGGCGCAGCTTGCAATTCGCAGCGCGCAGGAATCCATCTCTCCCGCGCTGCGCGGGACGTGATGAGAATGCCGCGCCCTGCGCGGACTGTAGCTGCAGGGGGCCGTGCGCCTAGCCAGCCTGATGATTATCATTATGTTAGTATGCTCCGTAGCATTACCATCATCATCATTATTATTGCTGTCATCGCGATCAGTAGCATGATCGTTATAACAAGTACGACGATTAGCAGCATTAACCAATCATGCTGCTATGCGTACCATTAGTGATGCCCGCGTGCCCGAGCACGCTCGCGGGCGCGCGCTCGTGGACTGAACAAGTCACGAGGGCCCCCCGATCCCAGCGGGCGCGGGCTAGAAGCCCAAACCAAGCCCGCGGGCACGCTTGCAGCCGCGCGCCCTCCTCATGCAAGAGGCAATCAGAACCGCCCCCGAGCCGTAGAGACGGCGGAGCGCGCGCAGGCTCGGTGGGCCACCCACTACGGGGCCCACAAGTGTAACCACGAATTCTGTTGGGAGGCATTCCCACGCGAGACCATCATGTTCAATGGCGCTGCCCCGGCCACCAGACTGGAAGACGATCGGGCGCGGGGGGCGCTCCAGCAGACGTGAAGGCCAGACAAGAACTAGTTGTCACGCCAGCGCAATGTGGTGGCCACACAGAACACAATGGTCACAGCGACGAAAGTCCTGGCCACACTGACAAGGAACAGTGGTCACAACGTACTGGTCACGCCGACATGCAACACGGGTGACAGCCGCTATAAGCAGGTGGTCGCAACAGTCGCGCCCGCCTTTGCCCGCGTACTCTCTCTCTCTCTCTCTACCTTCGGGAAGCTGGGGTGGGGCGCGCGCTCTCGGCATTCACTTCGGCGGCCGTGTCCCCGTGAGGACTTCCACGCTCGAGCGATTCGGGCACCCCCATGACAGATCTACGTACAGGCTGGTAACAAAAATGATGTTCGGAAATGCGATGCGCGAAGATTCCAACTTGCCGACGTCTTCTTTTGGTTGTCCGAACCGCGCCGAATCTCACCCTCAAACTCATCTCTTCGGGCGGACTCACTTTCCCGCTAAGACGCAAGCAACGTCCTATGCTCACTGCCATGAGCCAAACGCACGGAAACGCGCGCGCGAGCTCGTGTAAAAGACAACCTGGATGAGCGACAGTAACGACTGTATGGATGTACCCCGACTTACCTTGGTAGATCGCCGCAAGTCGGCAGGAGAAACGTCGTCAAGCACTCAGACATCCTTCCAAGGGACAAGAGGTAATGGAGGCGGACAGAATTTTCGACAGTCCACTTTTCACGCGAAGAATAATACGGCCACGGGGCAAGCACAATCAATACACCGTGAAGTGCACGTACAACTATCTACGTTATAACGCTGGGGCCAAGAGGGGGCGAAGACGGCAGTACTGAAATAAAAGAAGCTCGCCCTGTGAGATACCATGGCTTCAGCGCCTGATCGACATGCGTATGCATGCTCAGGAATTCGAGGACGAGGCTTTCATGCGCACTCGCAGTGGCGGCGCACGGGTCCTCCACCTCCTTCTTCCTCCTGCTCCTCCACCTCCTCATCCTCCCCTCCTCCTCCCTCCCTCCCCCCTCCCCCCTGCCTCCTCCATCCTGTCCCCCGCCTCTCGCCTCATCCCCTCTCTCTCTCAGTTCCCCCCTCCCTCCTGCCCAGGGGGCGCTCCCAGGGGTGCCGCTGGGAGAAGGCCAGACCCCCTGCATAGGCACGCTGCGTTTACCAGTTGTGCCGCAGAGCGCGCCTGCCCAAGGTATGGCATACACTCGACGAGCCTGAGCCCAACCACCGAAGAGCCCCCCTCCCGCCTCCCAACCTGGACTCACCCCTCTTTCAAGACGAGAATGATGTCATGGTGTGATTGGCTCGGGATATCCTCTGGGAACTCTGGAATATCTGGCAGCCCTCGCTTCTGCAGCCGGGTGGAGCATCAGGAAATCTGGACAATCCTGGATCTCGGAACCATCCTGGAACGAATCACCATCATTCGGCTACACGCAAGAGTGACCTTAGGCAAGAGTGACCTCTGATGCGCGGCTTAACCAGGGACGCAGGATGGCCAAACCTGGGCGCGCAAGCCGCTGCTACCGCGTCGCATTCAGCCATCTGGGGGCCCATCTGCGCCCGCACCAAAGGTCACTCCGGCGAAAGGTCACTCTTACGTCTAATCGAATCATGACCTCTTGCTCCTCTGGTCCCCACCCCTCCCCCGGCCTGTCGAGTGGTTGACCTTCAGCTCGCAGCCGTGCTTGGAGCCTGCGGCCGGCCGCGCCCCCTGCTGCCAGACCTCGCCTGTTGGCGGCCTCGGCTCCGCCGGGTTCTGCTCCTCCGGCTCCTGCCATCCAGGAAGGCACTCAGACCAGCTGCTCCCGCCGCCGGAGTGTTCAGCTGCTGCCGCCCCGAGGAGGGCGCTTTTTCTCTCTCAGCAAGGACGATTGGCATGTTCTCTCATGCGCCCTGCAGATATTGCGCAGTCGTTGTCCTCTTGTGTATGCTTGTGTGTGCTGATGAATCAGGTGCACGAGGTGTTTGGTGGGCATGAGGTCGTAAGTCCTCCTTCTGCTCAGTGAGCGTCGCGATCGCGCCTCGCCGAACCAGCATGCGAACCCTTCATCACAACTCCTTGCCATATCGTAGGCTGTGCCCGCGAGTCCAGGGCTGGCTACAGCATGGTTCGCGCACCGAGCGCAGATTCCTTCTCCCCCGCATCCTCCTAAATAGTCTCCTACTCCTCATTCTCCTCCTCCTCCTCCATCTCGTCGTCTTCGTCTGCCTCATCCCCATCATCGCTATTCTCCTACTCATCCTCCTCATCCACCTCCGCATCCTCCTTGCACGTACTCCCACTACCTCCGCTCATGCCACACCACCCTTTTCTCCACCTCATTCTCTTTCTCCTCCTCCTCCTCCTCCTCCTCCTCCTCCTCCTCATCCCCTCCCCCCCTTTGTGATCGTGTTTCGGCGGGTCGGTCGCGTGTCGACCACCCCGCACGGGCAAGCAGCAACACAGCTGGGGCAGGAGCTCCGCCAAATGCGGCGAGGCAATTTCGCAAGAACAACAAGTGGCATGCGCTTGAGTTTCGGTGGGCGGCAAACCTAAATGCTTTATTCACGTCCCTGGGCAATAGAACGTGGCGTACAAACGCAAACGCATGCGTGGTCCGCTTTGGCAGAGCACAGCACGGAAGACTTCGGAACATGCAAGTGTTTACAGCAAACCTTGGGTGGCTCACGCCCCAACGTCCGAACAGTTTGTTGCGTTGCTCGACCCGGGACACGCTGCACCGTATTTGCGACGCCTAAGGGGGGCCTTCCAGCTGGGTAGAGTTCGGATCACTGTGCTTCCCCTCGCCCTTTCGACTTTCGATTTCGCGCAGGAGGGATTCACGCAAGCCTTTCCTCTTCCGCCACGAAAGTCAAGCTTCCACTGACATGCCAGCGACAGGACACATCCCAAGCCGACGTCGGCGAGAATCAGGGATAACTGCTGCGTTCTTCAAGGGATTTACCGATTGAGGCAGTGGTTTGGAACCCGCCAGGGTAATCATTTTGCAAGTGAAGGAGCAAATGACAGAAACCCGAGCCTGCTCGAAATATAAAACATGTTAGCCAACGTGGCCCCCAAACGGTGTTTGTAGCAAACTAGGTTGTGCAATTTAAGTGGTTCCACCTATGTTGTGCAATATATGCTGTGCAATCTAGATTGTGCAGTATAGGTTGTGCAACCTCTGTGGGACAATCTATGTGGTGCAATCTATGTGGTGCAACCTGTGTGGTGCAATCGATGTTGTGGACTCTAAGTGTTGCAAGATGTGTGGTACAGTCTATGTTTTGCAGTCCATGTGGTGTGCAGTCTATGCGGTGCAATCGGCGTGGGAAAATCTGTGTGGTGCAACGTAGATCGTGAAATCTACGTGGTGCACTCCAGGTGGTGAAATCGGCGGGGCGCAATCTATGTGGTGCAATCTTCTCCAAACGGTGCTTGAACTCAGGGGCCACGGAGCCGCCAGACCCACAGGCAGGCCCAGACGACGTGCGGCGACGGGGCGGCGACGGTGACCACGGAGCCGCCAGACCGACGGCCATGCCCAGATGACGGTCGTTTGCTTGTTGTATGCTTTCGCAGAAAATGCAACATTGCTAATGTCAGGTACATTGCGATTTTGATGGATGACGATTAAGTGATATGGTGTTTCCGTACGATGGGCGGCGACAAGGCGGCGGACCGCTCTCAGCCGCGCGACCGACGCTCAGGCGCAGACGACGGGCGGCGACGAGGCGGCGATGGCGACGTCGACCACGGAGCCGCCATACCAAGGGCTAGGCCTGGCTCCGTAGAGCAGAAGCAAGAGGCTCCAAGTGCAAGCATGTCTGGGGAGCACAAGCAGAGTACGACCAAACTCCAGGACCCCAAGGACTCCATTATCTCGCCCCCGGGCGCAGCCCCAAACACACGCCAAGCCAGGATTGTACGAGGCAGAGGGGGCTGACAACATGTCGGTTACCTTCTGCCGTGCGACATGTCGAATGGAAGGCCCTCACACGGCTGCGGGTACTTTCCTCGCCAGAACCTATGGGTGCGCAAGCTCCTACCTTCCACGCATGTGTTCGCCTTTCGACCGACAAACCGTCTGATACTACTGCCGCTACTGCCACAACTGCTGTTACCTCTGCAGCTACCGTGGTTGCTGCCAACATTGCAGGCATGCGCCTG